TGCCACACTTTTAGTGTTGACTCTAAGAAAGGGGACATGATCAAATAATTTGAATGAAAGGCAGTGTGATTGTTTTTTTTTTCCTTTAAACTTTGGCAGTTGGCAAAGTTAGACGATTCATCATGTTACGCCTACATGCTCAAATTAGATCCTTCCAAGAGCATCCAGAACAATTATTGCAATAAACTAACAAGTAACAAAAAATGTGCAGATTGCAGTGGAACTACAAGGACTCGGGAGACTCAGGGTTCAGTTAATACATTTCCGATGGTGTCAATCAAAATAATGGTTTATTTTTTTATTTTTTTTATTTAATGAGGATTGACGTTCAGGCCTATTTTAAACATGTGTCGAGTATGTAATGGTAATTGCTTGGAAAAATACTGAAAATGAATGAAAATTTACTTGTTTTTTTTTTTTGATTGAGGAAACAATTTAGAATTAGGATTATCATGAGTTTTATAATTTGTCTCCTCTAAGTGAACTTGACATTAGTATTCATTCAGTGTTCTCACAACTTCCTTTACCTTGGTGCATATGCTGCTGTTCTTCTGTTTTGAAGTGGACTAAAACTTGCTTGTTTGTGCAAATGTGTCATTGATACAGTAAGTGCTTAGTCTTGTTTTCAAGCTAAGCCGAGGCATGGTGTTGCCGCTCCCGCAGCATATGTATTGGAAATAATTAAATGTCAAAGAAGCTCTGGCTGTCGCCTATCGAAGAAGGTGTTTTACGACCTTGTTTCTTTGCTCGCTCCGCCAGTTGCTCCTCATTAAACACTCAGCCACCACCACGGTTCCTTTGAACATGAAACGTGTGACAAACCAATTCCTTTCAGAAGGGGACAGTCTTCATTGCATCCACTGCATTTATTTAAAAAAAAAAAATATTAGTCAGGCGGCGCGGTGATCAACTGGTTAGCACGCCGGCCTCCCGGTGCATGGTTCGATTCCGGCTCTGGCCTTCCTGTGTGGAGGTGGCATGTTCTCCCCGGTTTCCTCCTACATTCCAAAAACATGCATGGCAGGCTAATGGAACGCTCTACATTCTCCCTGGTAGTGATTGTGAGCGCCAATGGTTGTTCGTCTACGTGTGCTCGGCGATTGGCTGGCAACCGCCTACTGCCCAAAGACAATTGATATAGGCTCCAGCATGCCCGCAGCCTTTGTGAGGATAAGCCGATTAGAAAATGGATGGATGGATGGATGGATGTATTGGTCAATATGAATGACAATAACATTTTATTGCAACCCTATTAACCACTGCCCTCGTTAGATTAATTGGATGTGATCATATTGCTTACAAATACAGTCTGCTGAATTCCAGTTACCGTATTTTCCGCACTAAAAGGCACACCTAAAAGCCTTCCATTTTCTTAACAGCTCACAGCGCACCTTAAAATCCGATGCGCCTTGTGTATGGTTATTACGGTGATATGTCGACCCCCCAAATGGCTCCTTGCTAGCGACATGCTTACAACGCACAGTTCAAACTTAAGGCGATCGGGTTATGGAGCTGAACACGGAAATAGAGCAGCGGCAAGAGAGTTCAACGTTAACGAGTTAATGTTATAACTTGCTGTTGGTTCAGCGAATTGTGTCGCTGCTTTATTAAATAAGTTTTACTGACATCTGATTGTTCTGTGGCATTTCCTTCAGCGTAGCTCCATCTAATGGATGCATTGTAGATTGCGTCTTATAATGCGGTGCGTCCAACATATGAAAGAAATTACAAAATTGGCCATTTGTTGAAGGTGCGCCTCATAATCCAGTGTGCCTTTTAGTGTGGAAAATACGGTAGTTGCAAGTGGCCAGGGTGATCAAGACGAAGACATTTCGTGCAAATGTGATCCAAAAAGTTATAGTTTCTCTCAGGTTGACTGTCTTGAAGCTCTCATTCTTCTCTAAAAGATTTAACTCTAAATTCTACAAAAAAGTACCTCCAAGTCCAAGAGCAAAAATCCAGCAACTTTAATAGGCTCATTACTGTGCATTAAGGATGTCTGTTGAGGTGACCGCAAGGCGTTCCATCACTCCAAGGCTTTGTCAATGTCTTGGGTCTCAGCCCATCGCAACCCATTACTAAGACAATTTCCTGTAAGTAGAGGAAAGGTCTGTTCTCTCTTTGACATAAAAGGTTAGTCCTTCTTTAATTCCTTTTGCAGGCAAACCATCACCATGGACAATGAGTAGTGGATAAAGATCTGGTTGATTTGAAGAAATCAATCTGATTGATTTGAAGAAAACAATAATGACAAATTAGTTGGCACTGTGATAGTCTGTAGAGACTTGGTCTTTGGAGTCAGAGGGCACCGGTTTAAGTCCCACTGCACATAAAAATGTAAAAATGACAACTAGCCATTGGAGAGAGGCTAGTTGGCTTGCTGGATCGTGCTCATGTGTCCTTGCACAAGGCCTCGTTCCCACTAAACCATATAAACGAAGTGCCAACATGACACATTTTATCCATTTCATAGTTTTGATGTCATTCTGCCAAGTCACTAATCAACAGCAATTAAAAGACAACCTCTTATTATTGTTTGGCTAAGTACCTTAGAAAGTGTGGGTTATGTCTGTTGAGTTTACATAGTTTAGTTTGACTCTGTGTGGAGTTTTTTAATAAGTTCATCGTGTGAAGGCTAATTTTCTGCTGCCTGCTTGCTTTTAAGCAGCAGTCCAACAGGACCTCGTTAATTGAGCGCCGTTTGGTGACATGAGGGTATGTTTCCCGTTTTAGTCATTTAGTTTGTGCACGTCTGCAGTGCTCCTCCTGAAGCCCAGCCTACCAGGACTCTGAAGTCCTGGCCATTACGAATGATGAATTGTGCTACAGTTAGGCCAGAAGTAGGACAAATTGATCAAAGTGTCAGGTGCCCCTTTGCGGTGTTGTGGTCTGGTCAACAACAAAAAAAGCACCAGAGAAGGAGCTGTCAAAAAGTTTCCTGTGCCAGGTGGTTATAGATAAATGTTTACCTGCCACCGCCGGATATGCGAATTGCCATCACTAGCCTACATTTATGAGTATGAGCTGCGAAAGATTCCCTTATTTGTTCTCCATATTGTTGTATAGTTGTTGTACACGCTCGCTCAGTTTGAACCATTGAGCTTGCTATCTGGGTGCCGTGCTGCAATTTGAGATAAGCACTGACTTGGCTCAGACCATTTTTTTTCGCCTGATAAACCTGGTGTAATTTAACTTGATTTAATCGGGATTGCCGTTAAGTACAGCGCACCGATAAACAGATACATCGGTTTCAAAGCAGCCCTTGGGAAAAAGGCTTTGAGGTAGATGGAGAGCAAAATTAGTGCAAGCGAAGATTTGCAATTTAAAGAATTGCGAAAGACATGCTGTGCTTCTATTTTTGTTTTTGTCTCTCCTGCTTTGCATGAATGGTTGCAAGGCGGACGGGTCCTCGCAAGACTTTCTCTCGTAATGTAAACATATATGACATTTGCCTGAATTAAGAGTGGCTTTCAGTCTGTGTGCATTTTTTTTTTCCTTCTCTGCACACAATTTGTCTGACTACTGTGTCTCCCTTAAGCTGCAAAGAATTGATCGTGCAGCACCTACCTACTTATTTTGGAAGGTGCACAAAACAAGACATAACTATTGAGCAGGAGCACTCATGTATGCTAAGGAATTGAAGTCCCCGGCACCACTATATGTCACCCTAATGATCCTAGCTTAAAATAATGCCTGTTCCGGACCGGAATGATGAAAAGGTTGGCCCTCTCACTCATTAGTATCGGGGCGTAAAGATAGATGACCTAGATATAGAACCAAAGCAGATTTTTTTTTTTTTTTTAACTCTGTTGAGCGCCGTGCTGCAGGTGGCCTAGCGCTCCAAGCATCTCAACTTTCTACTCAAATCCACGCCGTGGCTTTGGCTGTACTGTGGGGCGATTACTTTTTGAAGGCTGGTTTTAGTGTCATTAACCTAACAGTGACAGAGGGCTAGTGCATTGAGCGGTGCCGTACTAAGTCTTTGTAAAGAGCACTTCGCTCCCCTGTGTTAGCCGCAGCAAAGGAATATCCGTCAGTGACGATCAGTGGATGCTTCCATCTCAAAGCTCCCCTGTCTGTATTTGTCGTGAAGCTTTAAATGTACTTAATCCTCACGGTAGTTTATTGAGAAAGGACCGGCATCTCTCAGAGACACTTTTATTGTCAGGAACAGTTGTGACTCATTCTTTTCTTTATTTTATAATTAATGGAGAGCAGTCATTCAATTTAGCTCTAAGTCCAAGGGAATGGAGCCATCCTCCGCAAATGTGGCATTCAAGGCGGTCCACCAATTCCAGAATTTGAGTAATGCAATTCAATTTTGCACAACCACCTCTGGAAAGGGCCCATGTCAAGATCTTTTTTTTTTTTGCAATGAAGTCTGAGGTTTTCAGTGACCCGCCAGATGGTCATTTACTTTATGTTGTATATTGAATACAGGGCAGGGAATACATTTTGAAATCCAAGAATGAATAAATGTGAATCTAAATCCGAAAAGGCCAGTGTGCCTTTTAAATCAGCCCCCTGCTATGATACCCTTAAATATAATGCAGTGCAATCAATTGGCTTCAGAAGTCACCCAATTAGCAATTACAGTCTACTTGTATGCAATTTCCTCTCAGCATAAGCACACTTGTTCTATGAAGGCTTTGTGAGCTCACACTAGTTTGTATAGTCCTGTCTTGAATCGTTCGGTTAAAAGTCAAAGAATGGAACTCTGAAGTATTCTTTTAGAACTACTATTTTTTTTTTTTTAATGTTACTGTTATTATTATTGAATCTTTTTTATTCATCAGACATATATCTTTGTCTATCTATGGCAGTAACTTATAGTGATTGGCAGAAAAAAAATAATGACAATAAATTGAAAATTGCAAAGTATTATGATTTTTGTTCCACTTCACAAAAGTTCAAGAAACACAAATACGTTTTGTATGTACACACTCATCCTAAATACATAGTAGTATTTACATTCTTGCTTATTGTGTGTTGTCCAACAGAGGGAGATGAAACTGGAGTGATGGACAGCCTGATGGAAGCTCTGCAGTCGGGAGAAGCCTTCCGTGATCGGCGAAAACGAACGCCGCGCAACGGTAAGACAGAACAAAACAGTTGGCTTTGGATTTGTAGCAACGGGAATTTTGCTTGTTCGCGCACTTTCAAATTCATCACGTTAACAAGAAAATGGCAGATAACAGAGGCTAATTTGAAAATGATCCGGGTCTGAATCTGCCGATTGCTTGTATCCCCTTGGTATTGTGGATACAGGCATTGATTCATGTATAAAGACACATCTTCAAGCAAACCTGTGTCGTAGAAACAAGTACACATCAGGGCCAGTGTATCTCATTAGCAAGGTCTTGTCCCTTTGCAGATAATAAAACACTCATTACTGTGTTGCCAGGCTGCCTGTAGTTTGAGACAAGATGACTTTGTGCAGCGTGGTAACAAAATAATCCCTTCTGCCAAGATAGCCTCTTGCATTTTTTAAGGGGTTTTCATCATTTGGGTTGAACTTTCTACTTATATTGACCCTCATTAATTGTGTTTGCTTTATGTTTGATGTCACTGGTGAAATTTCAGTTGCACACCTTGCAAATGGCCGGGGGGAAAAAAAATCTATGATGGCGCTTCAAAGATTGTTTATCTTTGACCATGACATTGGCCGTAGTCATTGGTCGGTGCTGATGATGAGCATATAGAAAAATTGTGACCATTCTGAACTTCATTTATATGCACATTACCTTCCCTCAATTTGATTTTAAAGGTTTCCAATCACAGGTCTACATTCACTTGATTATTTGGACTTTTTTTTTTTTTTAATAATTTGTCAATCCCTGGGTTTATATTCCTCAAATTATTGATGTTTTGTTGATCATGCGACAGCTATTTAGTGCAAGTGAATGTATGCATTCCCTCTTGTTTCAATGCTATGAGAGTATAAAGTAAAACCAACTGTATTTTCACACATAGTGGCCTTCCGGTGTTTTCATGTATCAAGTCATTTTTTTTTTTTTTTTTAGAGGGAGAACCTTATTTGTAAAATGCATTTTTAATAGAAAAATCTACTTTAATCCCTAATTGTGTTACGGTCACTTTTGAAATGGTTTGTAGTTTGCAAATAACCGTTTTGTTTTGTTTTTCATGAACTTAAAAACTTTACAGATGTCACATCTGGCTGTATTAGCCATATCTAAGAATTAACTACGGTGGTACCACCTGGGGTCAAAAGGCATGTATTCACATTATCTTGGTGGTGAATAGCGTTTAGTACCGTGGAAGCCACTATTTGAGGAAATACAGTATGTTTTACCCTTACTTACACCGCTTAAATTCCATCTTTCTTTCTCGGTGCTTTGAATCAGTGTCATGACATTTGATCACTTCCGCAAATTATTTTAGGGAGTTTCTTTTATGCCAAAACAACTCTCTAATGCCGTTTTCTCTTTTTTTAATTCATGCATCCTGCCTTCCATCTTTCACTCTGATCTCTTTTCTTCCCCTCCTCTGCATCTACAACATGTTTCCAGGTGATCAAAGTCCTTCCAGTCCGGGCTCTCGGTGGCCGACTGCTAACTATGGGTACAGAACCCTAGGTGTGTGTTTTTAAGTCCCTTTTTATCTTCCATCCCCCACACAAGAGCACCCTGTCTCCCCCTGCTTTAATCCTGACTGTATAACTCCCACCCTCCTTTTTGCCGAGCTGCTCTCCAACACCCAGAGGCCTCTGCTGAGCTGTTTTACGTTGCTTTGCAAAGGCGAATGTTAAAATGCTGGATTTATGTGTTTGCCAAAGAATGACACCGAAAAGCCTCCATCACAGCATTTTTTTTTCTGCTTTGTAGAGCAGCTCAAGTCATCACGTCATGCTCCTAACAGCCCCAGCATAGTCACTTGTAGTATTTTGTTTTTTTCATGCCAAACTTTGAAAAACCTTGCTCACAAATTAACTTTCCTTAATACCTGTGTTGGCACAGCGCATGTCTGTGTTGTGTATGTAACCTTCAGCGAATGTTTGTCCCTATCACGTATTAATGACTTTCATTTTCAGTTTTATTCTGTCAACAACCTAGCCAAGTGCTGCACCTTTTTCTTTGTATCTTGAAAGGTGTCTGAAAAAGTGCATATTTGTATGAACGCATGTGCATCTAACATTTCCTGAGGTCTAAATTGCATTTAGCAGCTCTGAACAAACACTTTTCGAATTAGTCGAATTCATTTTAACAACAACTTGAGGGGCCTTGGGAAGTGAACGATGTGTTGGGAGTTTGCTTTTGTGCAGAAGGCCCCAACCATGCGTTACAAGATAAGATGTACCGTATGTTTGTTAAATCAAACTCCACAGAACCTCGGACAGGCAATCGTAACATTCATGAGAAGCCCTTATCACCTCGTTTTTCAAAACCTTCACAGAGGTGAGGCCCTTTCTCATTTACTGTATTGTATGAGTGGAATCTCATGGGACACAGAGGGTCCACTTTGATGTTTTGACTTGAATGAAGGGAATCCCGAGGGCTTGCCGGCTTTCTAGTTTCTATTTGTAAATGGTGTCGATCACTTAGCTCCAATGGAGCGTGACCATTGGTGGTTAGAAGACAATTGTAAATTGGGTGGGATGAGCATACCTGCGGAGTGTCCTTTTGGGCTGTGAACTGCGTGCTTTTCAGTGCAGTTGTGATACTTTTCGAGTGAGTAGGACCACCCAAGATCACAGCGGCGGGCGGCATGGATCACTGGTAGAGGGGTCGTCTCCCAGCCTGAAGGTTGCGTGTTCCGTCCTCAACGCTTGTGAACATGCTGAAACGTCCTTGAGTAGATACGCAGTTGCCCCTGATGCTATGTCATCCAAAGGTAAATGAGGAATGAGGTATGAAAGTGCTTTGAGTAGCTAAGTTAGAAAAGTGCTGTACAAGTGAAAGCCCATTTAGTTCTGCTCCTGAGCTCAACTAGTTTAAATTTGCTTGGTTTTAGCAGTTAGGATGAAAGTTAAGGTTAAGATTTACTGAATTTGGCATAGAAACAAACACAAATATTCAAGGAGTTGCATCCTGAGATGGGTTCACGTCAGCATATGGTTGGACATTGCAGCGTTTGAGGCGATATGTTTCACTCTGAATGGGGAAATTCAGTAGTATACTACTGAAGGAAGCGAAGCGGTTGATTCAGTCAGTGTACCAAATGTATCCCCTCCTACTTGTCACAACCATTGTCATCTGATGCTTTTAAAGCTTGATTAACTTAGCGTCCTCTTCAGCAGCCCCCTCAAACCGAGAGTCTCTCTTGCTTGCGTCAACATAAGTTGATTTCAAACCAGCGAGTGTCTCTCTGTCGTCTTTCGGGCTGAACTCCCCTCCAGCTGACTACCTCCGGTGTCAGGCTCAACGCAATTCTTGGTGCTGCCAGTCACAATTAGGCCCAATTCTACAAGCATTTCCTATTTTCTTGTCTCCACTTTGTATGAGATGGAAAATCTAACCCCGAAGGCTCCATGCACGTGTTACACAATTACACCAGACAGTCCTAATTCAGCTCCGAAAAATGGGAGGACTGAGTCTTGGGGAATTTCTGCAAGATAATGCATTAAATACAGAGCGATATTGAATCGAGTTGGCCGAAGACAAATGAGAATATGTGTTTATATGAAAAAGAAAATCACGCTACAGTTAGACTGCTCATTTTCTATTTCTAGTTCTCTCCGTGGTAAGACAGTTACCCAGGTATCTGGCAGAAGATTGGCAGATTTAAAACACAAGCCCCTCATACATCCTGCTCCATCGATTTTCGGTCAGGTATGAAAGCCACGGACTCAGTGTGTCGTTCATAGCGAGGGGCATCCCAAAAGACACATCTATCGGATTTCAAATAGAGGCCTGACAGTCTTATATATTTACTGTCTTTTCAACGTCATTACATTCCCAAACCAGGGCTTCAGTCGACATTGCTTTCTGGTGCTGTTATCCCGCTTCACCTTCATGGGTCAGTCTATCAAAAGTTCCATTTTCACTTCTGCATAGTAAGCCTCTCGATGACTTATTTGACATTGAAGAGGGGGCGGGGATAATTCAGACTCTCCTTAAAAATATACATGTAGCCATATACTGCTTACCCAGGTCATGGAGCTTCAGCCCACCTTTCTAATCTTTCGAAGCCCCTTCGTTTAATTCAAAGGGTCAGATCAGAGAGCAGCCCCTCCACCCCCCACCCACCCCTCTGTATGTTTTAATGAAGATGAAATTACCTCATTTATTTCATGAAATTTTAAAGAAGCTAAAGTGGATGAATCTCTAAAGCGGCAAAACGAGGAGGCCCAAGGGAGGCATCTGATGGAAAAGCTGCTGGCAATGGTAAACACCCCATTGTTGTGCTTTATCCCCCAAAGTCATTTTTGCCACAAAGAATATTTCACTGCATATTATGGTCGTGTTTGTTTTCCAAATGACCCTCATATTGCAGGGCATTTTGCAGCGATCTGACTTTTTTTAAATCCTCGTTCCCTAAAATATATGAAAGTAACTTATACTTTTGGGATTCATTCGGACGCAGCGTGTTCTTCTCTACTCTTTTGCAACTTCTCTGGCAGTTCCACTCAAAACAGTGCTTCCTACTCACACATTCTCAAGCACATATGACCGTTTCCGTTTGATATTTCAAAGTTGAGAGCTAAGGCCTCCTCCGGGCGTGCACTCCTGATGTTAATAGATGCTATTCATCGAAGCGGCCCTGGAGGCAATCCGGCAGGAAGTGGAGCTAACGTGATTTCAGACGAAGAGGCCCGCAGGACTCGTGCCTCATACTGTTGCTTGGACGGCTTTAGCAGATTTGAGATATTAAAATGCAGGATGAGAGCAAAGTGGTGCTGTTTGAAATCTATCACCTGTTTCCCGTAGATAAGGAAAGGTAAGGCAGATATGCACACTTCTGTGCCACTACTTTCGAGAGGTGATGCCCTCGGGCGTAGAAAAAGCATGTACACCTTGCTTTGACCCCCAAAAGACACTTACCTAAACCTGATCTTACAAATGATTTTGCTTCTTTATCATAATAGTTCGAGCAATGCGTTCTCCATCCATCCCTCCATTTTCAAGACCGCTTATCCTGAACATGGTTGCGGGGAGTTACTGGAGCCTATCCCAGCTAACTTTGAGTGGAAGGCAGACTACACCCTGATCTGGTTGCCAGTCAGTCGCAGGGCACATACAGAGACAAACCATTTGCACTCACATTCAACACCGTTACAGAGTGGGAACCGATCCCACGCTGCCCGCTCAGAAATCAGGCGAGTGTACCACTGCACCACCAGTGACTCATGCAGTATTATTCAACATCCAATTGTAGACTAGCATATTTGTAGTGGGTTGCTGGGCATAACTAATAAATGACCTTTAGCAACAAACCTTGCATTAATAATGGATCGATGCAGATGAATAATAGTAATAATCGTGATAAAAACAAAAATACCATCATCATTACCACATCAGCGACTGCAAATATGTAATAACTAACCATCCATCCAGCCATCAATTATCTGAGTCGCTTATCACCACAATGATTGCGGGTGTGCTGAAGCCTATCCCAGCCGGCTTTGAGCGGTTGGCGGGGTACACCCTGAACTACTCGCCAGCCAAGCAGGGCACACATAAACAACAATTCACTCTCACAATCACACCTTTGGACAATTTTAGAGCGTTCAATCAACCTATCATGCATGTTTTTTAACAATACGGGAGGACACTGGAGTACCCCCAGAAAAACCACGCAGGCACCGGGAGAACATGAAAACTCCATACAGGAAAGCCAGCGCCCGAAAATGAACCCACAACCTCTGTCATCATTTGTAATAATTGACATGCATATATGACTGCATAAACATTCATTCATTCCTTCATTCATTCACCTTCCGATCCGCTTATCCTCACAAGGGTCGTGGGGAGTGCTGGAGCCTATCCCAGCTGTCTTTGGGCAGTAGGCGGGGGACACCCTGAACCGGTTGCCAGCCAATCGCAGGGCACAAAGAGACGAACAACCATCCACGCTCACACTCACACCTAGGGACAATTTGGAGTGTTCAATCAGCCTGCCATGCATGTTTTTGGAATGTGGGAGGAAACCAGAGTACCCGGAGAAAACCCACGTAGGCCCAGGGAGAACATGCAAACTCCACACAGGGAGGCCGGAACTGGAATCGAACCCTGTACCTCTGCACTGTGAGGTTGACGCGCTAACCACTGGACCGCCGGGCCGCCCGACTGCATAAACAGTGACTGAAAATTTAACCAATGGCATTATACAGTCAGGCTCTGCACGAAACCAGGACAAGGACTACAATTAGAAGCAGGCATGCAGACTGGAGTCATGAAATTCCATCTGGACACTCTTTATTGTATTTATTTTAATATTCAGACCCAAAAACGGGCATTTCCTGGGAGAAGATGATTACATATGCTCAATGTTACCTTCATACTGTATATACACCTCATGGGCACAGAATGTAAACATTTTGGTCATTCGGCTTTATGCAGAAGTTAAGAAACATGATGGAAAATGCTCAAGCAAAGTTACAAAGTTAAGAAATTTATATTTGACACATTTCTCCCAA